GGCTCTTGTTTAGATTGACCGAGAATCCGTGCCCCTGTAGGGTTCGGATCGTGGTCTCGAGATCTGCCCTTGCTTGCTCCCGAGATCTGGATTGAATCAAGATGTCGTCCAGATAAAACTGAACGCGAACCGGGATCAACCTGAGATGGGCCGCTATTACAGCTAGGATCTTGGTGAATACCCTTGGTGCTGATGATAGTCCGAAGGGTAATGCCCTGTATTGGTAATGTCGACCCGCGTAGGTAAATCTGAGGAATTTCCGGTAACTGGGATGAATGGGGATGTGTAGGTACGCCTCTGTGAGATCTATTGAGGATAATAGATCGTCCTCCCTGACGCTGGCTAGGATGGATTTCAAGGAGTGCATCTTGAACCTCCTGTACTTTATGAAATAGTTCAGGCCCTTCAGGTCCAAGATTGCTCTCCACCCTCCTGATGTCTTTGGGATGACGAAGAGGATAGAATAAAATCCTCTTCCCTCCTCCTCCTTTGGTACCCTCTCTATGGCCTGGATTGACAGGAGGTGGGCTATGGCCGAAGTTATCAGCCTCGTCTTGTGCGCTCTTCTGGAGATGGGACATCTGATGAACCGATTTGGTGGGGGAGAACAGAAGTCTAAGGTCAGGCCATGCCTGATCGTTTCCAGGACCCAGGCGTCGGTCGTGGTCTGCTCCCAGACCTCGATGAAGTTTCCTAACCGACCCCCGATGGGAGTGTCCTGTTTGGCGTCACTTGGTACGCTTAAAGGATCTGCCTCCCGCTCCCCTATATGGGCGTCTGGACTGGAACTGGCCTCTGGCTCCCGGGCTTTGGCGATCCTGGGTTCGATCCTGTCTCGGATAGAAGGATCGTGAGCCTCTGGGCCAGTCCCAGGATTGCCCTGATCGAAAGGGCTGTCTCCATTCCAAGGGGCTTCCTGGGCGGAAGCCCTGTCTCCGGAAATCCTGACTGCCTCTCCTGTCTAACTTCTTTGATGGGTGTACTAGGATTTTTTTCTTGTCTCTGCCTTCGCTGACATGTGGGTCCAGTATGGACCCAAATAAGGCTTCTCCACTGTACTTGGACGTCGATAGACGCCATTTGGACCTCAGGTCTGTCTTCCAATTTTTGAGCCACAGTAGCCTACGCGAGGCCACTGTGGCCGCAATGGATCTTGCCGCATATTTCGTTGCGTACAGTGAAGCGTCAGACACGAATTGAGAGGCCGCGAGGAGCTTGGCCAATGTTTGGTGTACTCTGACCTGGTCTGGAGACACCGTGCCTTGCAGTTCCCTCAGCCACATGATACTGGCCCTCGCGAAGAATGATGATGAGGTGGCTGCTCTGGCCGCCCAGGCTGCAGCCATATGGGAATGCCGGAGGGAGTGTTCAAATTTCTTCTCCTCAGGTCTCAAGACCTCCGCCATGTCTCCTGGAATCGCGGAGGTAGAAAATAATGAGATTAAGGGGTTGTCTACAGCAGGAACCTCTAACATGTTAGAGAAGGAGGGAGATAGGTTGAAAAGCTTCCTTTCCGCGCTGTTGGGTGCCGGTGGGCTTGCAAGTGAGGACCATTGTTCCTCCAGCGTGGTCATAAAGACCTCCGCACATGGAATGTACTTATCTTGTGGAACCTTTTTGGCAAATAGAGGATTGGCCTCCTTGCTTGTTGAGGGCTTCTCATCCTGTACTGATGTTAGGTTGACTGTGGAAACTGCCTTTATCAGGAGTGATTTTAGGAGCGCTGGGTTAAAGAGGCCAGAGCTCGTCGCCTGCTCAGGTGCAGTCTCCTCGTCCTCCGAGAGGGGCATGTCTGACATGTCAAGGTCCACTGAGTCACCCTCTCCCAGTTGAGAGGAAGTTTCAGAGGTACTGGTAGGGGGTGGCCTAGCCCGACCCTTACGGGGTGTGTGAAAGGCCACTTGCCCCTTAGAAGCCATGAACTGGGAGAATGCATCCTGCATGAATGCATGAAATTGTGCCGACCATATGTTCTCCTGCGCCTTGTCGCTGGAGTGAGGCGCTGGAGTGTGGTCGGGTGAAGAAGCTGGTGAGGAGGGATTGGAGGAATCTAACTGCTCAGTTTCCCCAGGAGGAGACCAAGTCTTGAGCACTTCCTCGGCAGTAGGCTCTGTGCTGGGCGCCACCGCTGGGACAGGGGAAACCAAATCTGTCCCATTGGCATTGGTTCTCTGTGCCCTGCTAATTTGTCTTTCTAAAGCCAAATGTCTCCTCAAAGCCTCTCGCTCAGCCGTTTTAGACTGTCCCTTCTGAGAAAGGTGCTTTGTTTTAGCTTTCTTCTTCCCCCCCACCTCTGACTCAGAAGATCTGCGTTTTTGTTGTTGCTGTGGGGGGGACAATTGAGGGACCTGTGTGACTGAATACGAGACATTGTCTGCCATTGTGCCAGACACCCCGAGTAGGTAATGCCTGGAGTGGGGGAATGAGGTACGCAGATCAGATGCAGATGCTTGGGGCTGTGCCCTCTTCTGCCTATACAGACAATGGCCGGACAGACAGGAGTCTTTGGACAGAAGATCCTGCAAGGCAGTGACTAAAGGTCACTATAGGAACAGTCAGGGAAAAAAATTCCTCCTCACCTCCTCACCTAGTCCAGACAAGAGCAGTTTATGTCTCTCTCTCCCCCAGTCTGTGGCTGTAGCAGCAGACCACGATCAAAACGGATCTCTTCCTTTTCCCTCTTCCTTCCTCTTGCCTTATTTTCTTGAGGAACCTCAGATCCTTACCTAAAGGGATCCCTTCTTTGCTTGCAGGGAAAAGGAATCCGGGTGGTAGCCCCACCCCCAAGGGAAAATGCAGCGGGAATCCGCTTGTTCAAAATGGCGAATGGGAGGAAGCCACGCCTCCCAAAGATAGCCCGGGAAGCCACGCGGTTTAAACAATGGCGGATCTTTGAATTCAGTAGTAAGGGAGACTCCTTTGGTTTTAAGGGGCTGCGCCTCTCCTCTGAGGGAAGGAAAATAGCGTTAAGGCTCTGTCCTAGTCAGGGCTGCTTTTCGTGCCGCTCAGCTGATCGATGCCGAGCAGCGCCGCGGTTTGCCGCTTCCCGCGCGCCACAGTTCTGTCGGCCGAGCCGAGCCGGCCACTCAGCTGTTTGTCGGATCGGAGGGCGACGAACAACCCGGTGGGATCCCCGCGCCAAACAGCTGGTCGGCGGGCCGGATATCAACGAGCGATCCGGCCCCATTCCAAGCCTCCCCTGCTAGCCGCCCTGACGCCCCACTCACAACTCCGCCGATCCTGGCTGTGCCTTTTAAGTTCTATCAGCTGCCAGAGAGCTTTTCATTCAAATGGAAGGAAGAGGCTTCTTTCCCTTTTCTTTTGGGCTAAATTCCTATTGTTCTGAGAGCTGCTTCTCGCACGTCTACCAGGCTTCGAGACTGAGTTAAAACTGGGGTCACGCCCAAAGGAAGGGGTGTGGCCGAAGTTTTTACCCAGTCTGCCAGGCAGGAAGGCCGTCATAGAACCCATCCATTTGGACTCTACAGCCATCCTGCTGGAGAATGTTCTGTACTGTTGTTCAATCACAGCACCAAACAGTATAGAGTGTCCCCTCTGGATCCATACTTAAAAGCTATGAGTCAGCCATAGACACTTGAAGGCTCAGCTACTTTACAATATACCCAGAGACCTTGGGAGGACCTCAAGCAGCTACTTCAAAAGCCACATCCAGAGCACTATTCAGTTACAAAATGAACTTATTTTTAAGGCATAGCAAAAACATACACAATGGAGTCACAGGCTTGGGGAGTTATATAAATCAATTAAATAAACAAGCTGTAGTACAAGCTAATCTCAAAACGTATGAAAAAATCTTGATCTGTTACCATGGCCTTAGATAGCTACAGTAAATATGCTGTGTTTCTTCTATTAATTTTGATGAGGAAGGAAGCCAGACCTTATACCCTTTCTCCAAACCTTTATGTCAGGGGTCTTCAAGCTTGGCCCTTTTATGACTTGTGGACTTCAACTCCCAGAATTCCTCAGCCAAGAATGCTGGCTGAGGAATTCTGGGAGTTGAAGTCCACAAGTTATAAAAGGGCCAAGTTTGAAGACCCCTGCTTTATGTCTTCAAGTAATTTATTTTACTCAAGTTTTGTTCCAGTCCTTTTCTGTAATTGAAGTATATCACACTAATTCAGTTTATTTCTGGATGAACATGCTCTGTATCCAGCCAACTATGTTCAATAAACCATGGTTAAAAAAAGAGCTAATCATGAATGTGTATGAACTAACCAAATGCCCATAACTGGGCACCCTAGCAAATTATATGAATTCCTTACAGTAATTTGCCAAATGTGTGATTATCTCACATTTATTATGAACAACCCCAGCATATCTTAATATGGTTCAAATTTCCTCAAGCTTCCAGATGGAAGCATTGGGCAGCTTGACATCCTCCAACTTTATGTGCATGAATTCCCAGAATTCTTGAGGTATAAGCAGCATGGTCTTTATTAAGAATTTTGGAAGCTGCAGTTTATACAACTAGAGTGAGTCCAGGTTGGAGAAGATTGTTTGAAATGGTATAGGTTCTCCTGCTTGAGCAAGGGCTGGACTAGAAGACCTCCAAGGTCCCTTCCAGCTCTATTCTATTCTAAATTCTAAGACTGCTTTAAAATGTGCTGCTTCCCCTCTCTTGCCATCCTATATCTAACCCAAGGGTAGGCAACCTTGGCTCTTTTATGACACATGGACTTCAACTCCTAGAATTCCTGAGCCAGCCATGCTTGCTCAGGAACTCTGGGAGTTGAAGTCCACAAGTCATAAAAGAGCCAAGGTTGCTACCCCTGGGCTAGCTACTTTCCCATATGAAACCAGATATTAGAATTTGGAAGCAGTCTGATGTGCATTGTTCCTTATGAATTGCCACCATCTTTTCTTTAGCAATTGTTGCTTTGTGGTTAGCAGAATTAATTCAACAAAATAAAACTTGACCACTGCCAGCAGCTGATTGAAGACAAAGTCAACATTAACATTTGATGCTCTCTGGTACTCACAGCTCATCTCGTTGCCTTTGTGACAGCACCATTGTGGGTGTGATGTCTGGCTAATGCGATCCAGCTGTCTCCTCTGCGTCAAGCTCCTTTGAAATTCTGTGATGCACAATTTAGTCTGCCACAAAGTGGCTTCAACCCAAAAGACAAGGCAGTGCCACAGGTAAACACTAGTAAATAGGCAGGATGCATTCAACAATGAAGAGTCATTCCATCTAGAAAACAAAAGGGAAAACAATAGTATTTCATAGAATGTGTCAGTAACATACAGTTTTACCATTTAAGGATGTTCGCAGCATAAAATATGCAGGAATTTTAAGAGTTATGTATGATTTTAGGTTAAAGAGTACCATCCCTCAAAGAGGCTTTCCCCAAATTTCCACAAGCCGGTAATTTTTAATGTGCCTGAGTAAAAATATTATTTTATACAAAGAATAATTGCATTGGCTTTATTTAATTATTTTCTTGTATTCTTACTTAAATTTAAATATAAGTAAATCAAACTTTGTTCTGCCTTTCCCATATTTTACAAGCAGCCCCAATGCCTTAAAAAATTAGCTACACAAATTAGAAAACATCAATGTTTGTCATTTGTCAGATCAGTAGTTTGTCCCATATTATGCAGAATAGATCAATCTTTTCCTTTAATCGTCTTCCCTTTTTTCAAAATATTTAAAGAAAATTTTAAAAACAATGGTATCACTGATACAATATATAAAATGGTATGCTCCAGTTAGCCAATCAAAGATTACTGAACTAGGGTCATTAAATATTCTGCAGAAAAATATTCTAGTACATTCAACATACAAAGTCATCAATTGGAGAATAGCAGTTAATAAAAAGGTTTGACAAATCACATTCGATAATACTGAAATATTTCATTAATTTATATTCAAGAATATTATGAACTTGAAAAACCCAGTTCTGTAATTTCTTTAAAATGAAAAAAACTGGGAGATGATTTATTATGCTTAAAAGTGCATTTATTTATGAAAAATACATATGAAAGATTCAGGAGAATCTTTCGTATGTATTTTCATAAATAAATGAAAATGAAAAGCTTTTGATCAGTGTGGGCTATCTGCTCTCCCGGTGAAACATGGACATTAAGCCCACAATTGATACAAAAGATGTGAGTCGCGCAAAGAGCCATGGAAAAATACACACTCGGCATCACAAGACAAGATAGAAAGACCTGCACATGGATTAGAGAACAAACAAAACTATACAATATCATCAAGAGAGTAAAAGAACTGAAACGGAAATGGGCTGGTCACATAGCAAGACGAACTGATGGCAGGTGGACCAAGGCAGTCATAGAATCCCACTTGATAAAAGTGTCCATGAAAGAGACCTAAAACAAGATGGAGCGACAACATCAACAAATATTGCGGGCCAGTTGGCAAAAGAAAGCTCAGGATCGTCTTAGTTCGAAGCATATGGAACGTGTGAATAGACAATGGCTAGGATGATGATGATGTTGATGATATGAAAGATTACAATTTACACTAAATAAAACTTTGCCAAAACTTTTTAACTTTCATTATGCTGTACTTTAGTGTTTTCTATTACACTTATGAATCCAGTAGGAATAGTATAAAAATGAGACTCCAAATTGTAATCTAGTCCAGAGGTCTCAACCTTTTGGGCACCAGGACCGGTTCTTTTGGAGAAAAGTTTTTCCATTGAGTGCGTGGTTTTGTGTGCTGCCTGCATCCCACGGATGGGACTTTATTTGTGCGGACCAGTTGCTGGCATGTTGCGGCCCGGTACTGGTCCACGGACCGGGGGCCAGGGACCTCTGATCTAGTCAATCTACTGAAGTCCTTCAATTAACACACCTGGCTCTTTCATACGGACACTGTTTCACGGGAGAATTTTATCATCTACCGTTTTTATTGGCAAGACTTTACCGTAACCAACCATACATTTCATACTTCAGTCAATCCTAGATCTCAGCCACTTTTCTTGATGACTCAGAGGCAATATTCGTAATGTTTAATACAGGGTAATATTCAAGCAAGAATGCAAGAAACAAAAAAGTATTTTGTTTTTAAAAAATCTCCATTTAAGTATTCAAGTCAAAAGAAAATAATGTTTATTGAATTTTTAACCCAAGATGGAACTTCTGTAAGATTAAACAGTTTCTTATAATGTTTAAATGATGCCTATAAGCCAGTGGTTCTCAACCTGTGGGTGGGAACCCCATCTGGGTCGAACGACCATTTCACGGGGGTCACCAAAAACGCAGTCCGCCATTTTTTCCCCCCTTTTCCTTAGCTGTGCTACTCCCTTTATTCTATGTTTATTTCTAAACATATTCATCTGACATTGATTTTGAAGCCTTAATGGAATTTTACATATCAAAGTCATGCTTACAGCATTCCACTGAATGTTCTAACAAGAAAAAGATGTAATGAATTATGTTTGTTTATATATACTAGTGTATAAATATGCTAGAGATTAATTAGCCTAAGCCTTCCTCTTGTATAATTATCAAGCCTGTTTAATTGTATGATTCTTTCTGCTCAAGAAATCCTAATCAGTGTAACCTCTTCATCTGTAGTTACCATTGGAAAGCTTTAATAAAATAATTTTTAATACGAAGATGTTAAATAACTTTAAAACATTGTAACTCCCATGTATAAGAAATATACTAATATTCTCAACCATCAATAATTACCACACACTCTTATGGCTCTGACAATGAATTAAAATGATCAGCTACAGCCTTACTTCTTAATCTGCTTCCTATGACAGGAAATCAACTTATTACCCAGTAAAAATATTTATGTGCTTTTTCAAAAAGCAAAATGTATAGTTCACCCAAACTGAAAACAGTGTAAGATCAATTTACCAGATCTTGATGCAACAAACTTCTCAAGCACTTGACTAAGTTTCTGCTGTGATTTACACCTTCGCATAATTATACTATTGCATAACTCAGTTTATTTGCATGAGAGGATCATTATGCAGCTGATATCATCACAGGAAAAATGTAAAGAGTCACGTAGGTAAATAAACTCCAATCTCTACTTCATCCAAATAAAAGCATTGATGATGGATGGCTGCCCCCAATTTATGTCTCAGCGCTTCTTAGTAAAGGGGACTTACTATCTTTCTGGGTACTGGGTTCCCCTCTTAAGGCATTCTTCCACAAGGAAAATATTCTCAACATTTATCTGGAATTTGTCTTCCTGTAATATTTCTGTGTCCTACCCACTGAAATGCTACAGGATAGTTCTTGAACTTTTCCATTCAGTTATCTGAAGTATGCTATCATATGGATTTCTCCATCCTCAACATGAAAAAAAATCCATGCTCCTTCCTCATAATCACACTGATACCCTATATATTCCTTAACAACAATTCAAAATCTTCTTTAGAATCTTCTCAGGTACTGATATCAAGCTGACTAGTCCCCTGCGGGCTCTGTGGTGCTCTGTGAGCTTAGTGTTATTTTTTATGCAGACGTTTCATTACCAAACAAGGTAACATCATCAGTCCTAATCCCCATATCCTTCTTTTTGCTCTTTAAAGGTAGTCCTCTTCCAGTTATCTGGCCCTTAACATATTCTACAGAATTCTCGCTGATAATGCACACATTCCTTCAATGTGCAGGGTGCAGAATGTTTAAACTCATTCAAAATAAATGGATATTCTGTGTTTCTACTGATAACAATATTTAATCCTGCCCTTTCATCCTGCCCTTTACAACAGCTGCATTTCAAGAGTCATCCCACCAGACCTCAAGTATGTCGACTGCATTATATTTACCTTCTTGCACTAAGAGTTCAGCTCACCCTATTTCCCACACAAAGGACATGAATTTATGAGCCTGGGTTCTTTTGGATTTTTCACTGAGTAGTTTAATAGGCTCCATTTCAGCAACATTTTTACTTTTTTTTAATAGTGCGCAAGCCTTTGAGATCTTCCCTTTAGGACAGGGGTCACTGACACCAGCCTGTGGACTGATATCGGTCCATGGCATGCCAGAAACTGGGCATTGCAAACAAGCATCGCCCCATCGGCGGGATGCAGGCAGCACACGAAACTGGTCTGTGGAAAAAACCTCTCTCCACAGAACTTGTCCCTGGTGCCCAAAAGGTTGGGGGCCTCTGCTTTAAAATTTTGATCTGCAATCTCAGCAGGATTCAGCCCTCCTCAAGCTACTTTGGCAAAAATACATTTTTATTATTTCTTATAAGGTGCAACCCACCCTATGTCTTCCTGGTAAAAGGACCCTAAAAACCAATTCTGTCCAAGATTTAAAAAAAAAAAAAGATTTACAGGGAGTCCTCGATTTACAACAGTACATTTAGTGATAGTTCAAAGTTATAATGGCACTGAAAAAAGTGACTTGTGACCATTTTTCACACTTATGGCTGCTGCAGCATCCCCATGATCATGCAATTTACATTCAGACTCTTGACAACTGGTTCATATTTATGATACTGCAGTGTCCCAGGATCATGTGATCTCCTTTTGTGATCTTCTGACAAACAAAGTCAATAGGGAAGCCAGATTCACTTAACAACCATGTTACTAATTTAAGAATCGCAGTGATTCACTTAACAAATGTGACAGGAAAAGTCGTAAAATGGAACAAAACTCACTTAACAAGTTTCTCGCTTAACAACGTAAATTCTGGGGTCAATTGTGGTCATAAGTCAAGGACCACCTGTAGTTTCTTTTTTTCTTCCCATTTCCAGTCCTAGTCCATGGAGCGTAAGGACAGATTAAACTATCCCACGAAGGCCCCAGCCCCAACATTTTATGTTTGGATACAAAGATAGCTGGTCTTTGCAATGAATTCACATGGGCCAGCCAAATTGGCTTTCAGGGCGCTTAATATATATCTCAGAAATTAATCTGTTACATCCCTGATCCATGATCCTGGCAAACATATTTTACAAAGTGGATGGATCTGGTTGGTATGCTTATTTCAGTTCTTCATTCTACTGGTTTGCCCTCCTTTTCTTCAATTTCTTTTTTGTATAGTATACATTTATTCTTTCTATTCATGATTGTGAATGCATGTTAAATTTTTATCCCACCCTACAGTCTTAAAAGGAATGATAATATTGAATGATCAACATTGAGAAAAACCCAATTTGAGATTAGTTAAGTATTTTTCAATATTCTGTTCTGCCAATCACTATAGCATTTGATCAGCAAAGAGCTTTTAAAAATCTAAACACATCCCTCTTTACTA